CCCCCGGCAGCTAGATTAGCCTTCATTCTTCTTGGGAAGGAACTTTGCACAAGATTTGGAGTGTGTCTGTGGGAATTAGTCCCTATTCCCATGAAAGAGTATTGGTCAGGGCAGGTACAGGTGTTGGGTAAGAAACCTGCCTCACAGTCAGCATTCCAATTTATATCTTGTAGGTGTTCCTCAGCATTGAGGTCAGGGCTCTGTGCAGCCCACTTGAGTGTCTCCACATCATACTCATCAAAATAGGTCTTTATGGACCTTGCACTATGCACAGGGCAAAGTCATGCTGGAACTGAACATTAACTTCCTCAAATTGGTACCACAAGGTTGGAAGAACACAATTGTCTAAAAAGTATTTATATGCCGTAGCATTACCACACCTTTCAGTAGAAACACCTGAACTAAATCATTTGGACAGATATCCACTTACATTTGGCCTTATTGTATATGATGGTCAGGTGTCCACATACTGTTGGTGATCTAGTGTAAATCCAAAACCAAAAGCTTTTTTGTTTGTTTAGAGTAGGAACTGGTAACATTTTCTGTCAAGTTTTTATTCCATTGGGAAGATCTTCCTTCACTTCCTATCTCAAAACACTCAGCAAGAAGTAAAAAGAAACCTCTCCAAAGTAAAGGAAATCCCCTCTTAGACAGTGTCCCGACAGGAAGAGTTCCCTATTCGTGTTCTAGTAACAACTCAACATTTTGGTTTCACCATTAAAGTGACACCAAACTGAGAAGTTACATTTTAAAAATACATTCAAGCACCTGAACTATTAACAAAATGTACTTTATTTGTGTATCACTGGGCTGTAGAGTGTCAAATCATCTCTGAATTGGTACTGACACGGCCCTTCCCTCTGGAAGGTGGCTACTTTCATTTTCCATGGTCCCTGGGTGTGTTGTAAAGTAGCCACCGCTCCAAGCTCACTCCCGTGATAGGAGTACAGTCTCAATACAACTTAGTAAACTAAACAAGAGGTTGTAGTCCATCACGGGAGTGAGCTTGGGGCAGTGGCTACTTTACAAACACACACAGGGACCATAGATAACAAAAGTAGCCCCCCTCCAGAAGGAAGGACGGTGTCAGCACCAATTCAGAGATGATATGAGGGTCAACAGCTGAGTGATACACAAATAAAGTACATTTTGTTAATAGTTCATGTACTTGAAGGTATTTTTAAGATTAAGGAGTGAAGAACAAATAAGCTACCATTTTGTTAATCGTTCGGGTACGTTAAAACATTTTAAGGATTTAACTCCTGAGTTTACTGTCACTTTAATTTTAGGCAACAGTGGCCTCCTGAACAAATAGAGATGGTGATGTCTCCCCTCCCCCTGTGGGGGCCAAAGACAGCTATAAAAACCTGACAGGGTTTCTAACCCTTCCCCACTCCCCCAAAAAATAAAGTTTGGCTTTAAATATACGGCAAGTTTATCCAGAGACAGCAGTCAGAATATCTAATGATCGTGGCAAACTTGTATTAGCCAATTTTTGGTGCTGCCTTTAGCTTGTGCAAAAATGCTTCAACCTAACAGCATCACCAATCGCTTGTTCAGTGTTACGTGGCTGCACTTAGATGGTTCTAAATAGATTTTGTGAAGCTTTCCATGGCAAAGTATCAAAGTAATATGATTCATAATTTTTATTCCCAACTTCTTCTGGGTATTGTCATTGTACATGACCATGTTTTCTGATCGCAAGATATACTAGTATCTAGCTTATAAAGTGCCTCCTGTATCAGATGTAGCAGTGGGTTCACGCATACATTTTATGTAACCAGCAGTCTGTAAAGGTTCTCATTTATCCAGGTCATGGGGCACCTAGGAGTACTTAGTTACTTGTATGAATAGTGAAACATCAACATTCCAGAACAATAATAGCATTGCTTCTTTCTAAAGCTGGCCATACACCTTACAATTATCTGCAGATTTTCTATGGTCAGATGGAAAAAGTGCAACAGATTCCTCCATCTACACTTAACTGTGTGGATGGCGTAATCTCCACCTGGGCTAATCTGTTGCACTTTTTCCATCTGACCACAGAAAATCTGCAGATAATTGTAAGGTGTATGGGCACCTTAATTGCCATGATGGAATATGCGGTTCCTCAATGGTCATTGATTCAGCGTTACACAAAATTGGGCATCAAAGCAGTACAAACAACAGCTATAAAAAGATTTCGGTGCCACCGACTTACTAAGTTAATCATTTCTGATTGGTTTCTAAAGGCGACTGCTCTTTCTTCTTCATTACGTACTTCACCGTCAGCCTTATGTCAGAAAAAAAAAAAAGCTATTGGCCAGAACAACCAATCAGGTTTTAGATTTTAGTTTGAGAAGACACATGTAACCTGATTGGTTGCTATGGACAGCTTTTGTACCAGTTTTCATAAATCAAATCCTCTGCTTTTGCTTCTATGACTTGGAATTCCCAGCAAATTCAATGGCAGCAGCTATAACTGAGATGCATTGTGGAAAAGCTCATCCCTTCAAAAAAAGCAAGCCTGGCTGATTGTCTAGCTTACCTTGCTCTTGACTGGAATATCAATGCATCTGGGCTTTGGCCAGCTGCTCCCTTTCAGTGCTAGACCAAACTAGTGAAAGACTGAATGCAGGGCAGAAAATCCTTCAGGAGCTGCAGGCAGAGGAACAATGTGATTCTTCTTTCTGCCTATTTTCTCTTCTCAGCAGAATAATAGTACATAACTATGGAAATGCCTTGAAAAGACATAGGATAGTTTCCTAACTCATGGCCATGGAGTGTGGGACTAAGGCAAACACAGACCCGCCTCTTCATCCACATCATGTGTGGGGAACTTCAAGACTTTTCATTAACCTCACTTGTGCCAGGGAGACAGTCGAGTCTCTACTGCTGGAGAATATCAAGAACTAAATAAAGGACTATTCAGCATAGCAATCCAAAAACAAGGCTAATGTGCAGTAACCAGTAACAACCAATCAGTGCAATTCAATAAGCTTTAACGCATAGCTCATTATTTTTTTAAGGCAATCTTTATTTTAATCCAAGTGACTTTTATTTCCAGCTCTCATTGGCGGTCATTGCTAAATATAACATAACCTTGATATGACAAACCTTGAATGATTGTTACAGCTTAGTAAATCGAGCCTAATGCCAGTTAGATTGTAGGCTGGTCATACATGGCTCAATCCTGCCCAAATTAGGCAGCCCATTGGGCAAGGGGCGATCATTTAGGGATCATTAACACAACTGCACTTGCAATGGTGCACAATTTTTTTCCTTATTGAAGCGCATGGTAACATGTTGTACGTGTGCTTTGTGGTGACATTGTTTCTCAGGCTGGGTGCACCCAATGCAGGTGCGTCGCGCACATTTGCTGCACATCTCCATTGATTTCAATCAAACAACCAATTGAACAAACAAATGCAGGAAGGTAGCTCATGTAGCACATTCTGCTACAGGCATCCCACTTCTGTGTTTGTGCATGTTTTCCTGGTTACGTTTGGGGTGTCATTAACAAGTAATGGCGCCACAAGTTTTAGGCGCGTTCCGTGAATGCATGTATAAGCAGGAGCTTGACGTGTGTTCATGGGTACTGGTGCGAATGGGGACTGATAGGCAACTAATATTTTCAATATTTTCAGGAGCATAGGTCAGCAATGGCAGCCTGCATACGTCCTCAGGACAGGTTTATTTCAAGTGTGTTTAAGGACCCATTTACACCAAAATCGGAAGGAAATCAGAAGTCAATGGAGGGTCTGTTCAGGGGCGTCCAGAGGCCAGGTGTCACCCAGAGCGGATACCGGGTGACACCCCACCGCGACGCCATCACGCATGCACATGACGTCACCATGCGCGCACAGCCATCTTGGTGATACCTGCCGGCGGCCATCTTGTTGATGGATGCGGGGCAGAGAGAGGACTGGACGTTCACCCGGCGGGATAAGGTATGCCGCGGCTCCCCTCCTCTCTCCTTACACTGTCGGGCTCTCAGTCCATGATCGTGTGCCCGACTTTTTAGAGGGGTGACACCAAAATAACTGTCAGTCATTCCGGTGTCACCCCTCCAATGGTGTCACCCGGGTGGGGGCCGCACCCCCCTTGTGACACCACAGGGTCTGTTGACTTGCAATTGTAACTTTCCGATTCCCCTTTCTATGCATTGCATTGCAATACGTTTTGCAACGGATGCTAACAGAAGGGCACGAAAAATGAATAGGTGTGAATTGGGCGAGTTCACACTTCACCGTTCCATTGCTTTACGTTGCGCTGAAAAAAAGTAGTTCATGTTCTACTCCTTTTTCAGCGCAACATAAAGCAATGGAACAAAGGGGTGTGAACTCGACCAATTCACACCCATTCATTTTCGGGTGCCCTTCCATCAGCATCCGTTGTAAAATGAATTGCAATGGATCAAAAGGAACTCAGAAGGTAAAACCACCCTCCGTTGTGTTGTGATTTCCTTCTGATTTTGGTGTGAATGCACCCTGAGTCCCCATTCACACCTGGATGTTTTGGGAACGTGCGTCAAATGCGCGTACAAATGCACGCTTTGACTTGCATCCCCAAAACGCACACAAATGTGAAACGCCCTTGCGTTGCCATTACTAGTTAATAGCACCCCAAACACGGCCAGAATATTATGCGTCTCGTATGCTGGAGGTGCGTGGCAGATTTTTCGACATGAGCTTCTTTTCTTTGTTTGTCGCACATATAGGAACCTATTGAAATCAATGGTAACATGCAGCAAACGCACACAACCGCAACACGCATCCTCGGTACGCCTATGTGTGAATGCGGACTGATAGATTTATTTTGTCCAGCCTATCGGCTGAATGAATGATCTCTAACAGGGTCCTCATTGTGGATGGATGAATCTCCCCTGCTAGCTGTTGTATTCTAACAGCCAGCGCATTGCAATTCCTTCCACAAAAGTTGATTCAATAATCACCTTTTCTCAAGTGGTGGCGGCCAGCTTTAGAATCCTAGTTTTTAAGTCTAAAACCGTAGCTATAACCATACACCAGTAGATTTTCTGTAGATTTTTTTTGTATCAGCCTATGGACAGATGGAAAAAGTGCAACAGATTCTTCCATCTACGCTAAACTGTGTAGATGGAGGAATCTCCCACTGGGCCAAGCTTCAGTATCTTGCTAGTCGGCCCCGCTGGCTCTCAAAATACCTGAACAATGTCTGCATCCAATCAGATTGTTCGGGTACTTTGACAGCCAGCGGGACCGACTAACAAGATACTAAAGCTTGGCCCAGTGGGAGATTCCTCCATCCACACAGTTTAGCGTAGATGGAGGAATCTGTTGCACTTTTTCCATCTGGCCATAAAAAATCTGCAGATAATCTATAGGTGTATGCAGTGGCGTCACAAGGGGGGTGCGGCCCGCACCCGGGTGACACCATTGGAGGAATGACACCAAAATGACTCACAGTAATTTTGGTGTCACCCCCCTCTGAAAAGTCAGGCGCTCGGTCATGGACCGAACGCCCGACAGTATCAGGAGAGAGGAGGAGACCCGGCGGCATACCTTATCCCGCCGGGTGACTGTACCCTCCTCTCTCTGCCGGCGTCCATCACCAAATGGCTGCCGGCAAGTATCGGACTACTGTAGCGCGTGCGCGATGACGTCATCGCGCATGCGCGTGGTGACGTCACGCGCGGTGACGTCTCGGCGGGGTGACACTCGGTTACCGCTCCGGGTGTCACCCAGCCTCGGGACGCCCCTGGGTGTATGGCCAGTTTTAGAAGCACAACAGAATGTGTGATCTATTTATCCTTCACTTGTCCTGCATCTGATCACTGTGCTGTCTTTGATACATTTTGAAGGCTGCATGAAGGCTGCAGAGATTATTAACCATTTTTCAGGGACACATTGGACCTGATTCCACATCCACAGGGATCACTTTGGTGCACTCCAAACCTTCAATCATCAGAAGGGGAAATGAAAAGAAATAGAGCTTCTTTACACACAGGTTCAGGTCAGCTCACACCTTAGTAAACCTCGGCCCATTGATGCCAAGCTGATGATAAATACACTCGGCTGAGGTTAATATTTGCCACACCGCTTCCAGTACATTTATTTATAAACAACTTTTTTTCTCCACTAAACACTTTCAGTAAGTATTTACATAAAGGGAGAGTAAAGTCTATTTTTAGTAAGTACATATTTTAAGTGCAGCGTTCATCTTAGGCCTGATGCACACAGCGTAGAATTAGGCCGTACAGATCCGTGCGGCGTGCACGGCCACATCGGGCCGTTCCCGGGAGGGACAGGAGCTGCGTGTGATTGCGTGCCGCAGCCTGCTCTTCTCTATGGGAGAACCCGGTCGTACACTTATCATAGGCACACCCGAACTGCAAATCCATGCAGGTCCGGGTGTATGTGCTCGGACGCAGACAGGATCCATCCTGCCTGCGTCCGAGTACAGACACCCGCACCCGCACAGATGTGCAGCTTGGGTATGCGTACTGCCGCTTACTCCCATAGGGAAGAACAGGCTGCTGCACACAATCACACGCAGCACCTGTCCCTCCCAGGAACGGCCCGATAGGGCTGCGCACGCCACACAGATCTGTATCGGCCCAACTCTACACTGTGTGAATGAGACCTAAAAGCCTCAGTCATATACAGTTGAACCGGCTCCTCTCCTGGACTGAAACAGCTTGTTCTGACTCTATTGCACACTGTGAGCGTCTTACAGTGTGCATTAGAAGCTGCAGCAAGTCAAATAAAGTCATCTCATTTCCTGGCTGGAGGACATCCAGCATCATCTAGATCTTTCCTCCCCAGCCTTACTGTCCTGGGCCTGCTGCATTCATTAACTGGAAGCTCAGCATCACATGTAAGCACTACCTAGGCCAGTCTATATGCCTCGGAATGCCCACTCCTCCAGACTGATACCCACCCATCAGGGAATTTTCATATTTGCATAACTCCTCCCAAGAGCCAGCTTGCAACTGAGCTGAGAAATTGTGAGAGAAGTACTGAGGCAGGGTGCTGTGATGCTATCAGGAAGCTATAAAAAGCACCCTACTGGCCCCTCCCACCAGTCATGATCAGCCTGCATTGCATAGAGAAGCACAGAGACAGTGATGGCATCACTGAAAATAAGATATGTTATGAAAACAGAAAGGTTTTATCTATAAATGTCATTAGCATGTTACTGACTGGGGAGGAAGGAACTAAAGAAGGGAGAATATAAGCAGATTAAACTTCAGCAATTAAATACTTTACTTTCACATGTGTTATTGCATTACATATAGAGGTTTGTAGATTCGTCACCAGAGGGAGCCCTGACTAGCTTAGTGCAATCCCTCTACATAATAACCGTCGTAATAAGACGTCAGCCACTGAGGGCCCAGTCACACCATATGCAGTGCGTTCCAGTGCAGTTTGAGCCCGGCCGGAACGCACTGGATCACATAGATCAAGCCGGGCAGACTTAAGAGTTAATAGTACCTCTCAAGCAACCACCCCACGGTGGCCCATTCACCTGCCAGCTAGCTTTCACAGCCGACAAGTGAATGTAAGCAGCCGGGAGCAATAGCCAAACTGCTATTGGCTATTTCAAATTACAAAAAGCCCATAGCAGGCTGGCTATTGAAACCCCGCCCACTGAGCAGAGGAGCGCACCTGAGAAAGTTCCTCTGTTTAGTGGGCGGGTGCAATTGCCAGCTTGCTATTGGCTATTGCAACTTGAAATAGCCAATAGCAGTCTGGCTGTTGCTCCCCATTGTTTACATTCTGCTGCCGGCCGTGGAATCTAGCCAT